GTCCAGGGAAAGAGTTCCCTCTTTTTTTAATCTTTTATTTATTTGGAACAGGGTCTTGCTATGCAGCTTGGACTCATAGTGATCTTCCTGTCTCAGCCTCCCCAGCGTGGGGATTATAGACATGCATCGCAACACCTGGTTTCAGTGGCTGGCACAGCATGTGGTCCTGGGAATCAAACCCAGGTCCTTGTGCTTGCCAGGCAAGGGCTTAGATCACTGAGCTATCTCCCCAGCCCAAGATTTCCCTGTTTTGGTCAATGTTCACTAGATTCTTAGATCCTAGAGAAAGAACTCTGTCTCCAAATAATAATGAGAATATATAACACAGATAAATCAGTTCAAAATGGAACTTAAACACTAACACTCAGGAGAACATAGATCACTTATAAAATTAAATCTAAACTCAAATTCTATCCTGTGATTTAAGCCCTAAAGGCACTTAGAATGTTTTAGTAATTTAATTCTGCTATGGATGTTTATGAAATGGTTCTGTTTAGTTATGGATGAAAATCTTGAATATGCTTTCAAAAAATGTTAGTCATTTTACTAACCTGAAATGTGATTTTCTAGCTGTAAAAGGCATTCTGGTCACTGTTCAGTAGCCAGCCTGAGTAGTTAGGGAACAACTGTTCAGTCAGAATGAAGCATTCCCTAAGTACTGGGTTCCCAAGACCAGTGCTGTCTGTGACTGTTCCATGCTGTGACTCTGGTTACTGAAACTCCCAGACTGCCACCTAGAATCTGCCTGGAAAGGTGGGCAGGGCCCTCTGCAGGGCAGCGCAGGGGAGCTGAAGGTGTCCCTCTGTACCTTTTCCCAGATTGCATCCGTGTTCACACTGCGGCAGGCCCTAGCTGAAGGGCCTAAGGAAGCCCACGGAGTCCAGCACCCCACATGCAATCACGCTGCACACTGGTCCTGGGGCCCACACGGGGGGGGGGGCAAGACAGAGTGAGCAGGTCTGAGCCAGAACCAGAGAGGCCAGTCCAGTGAAAGGTGCAGAGCTCCGGGAGAGCAAAGGAGGCGCGGTCCTAAATCAAAGGACTGAGGCAAAATGCCTAAGGCAGCGTGCTCCAGAAGGGGCTCACAAACGACCTGGGCAGGAGGCTGGGAAAAGACAAGAGGGTCAGGATACGGCTGTCACAAAGCCTTGTGCACACAGGAGCTGGAGACACCAAATTCCAGAACCCACGGAAAACCTAGCCACACCTGGGACCCTAAGAGTTGAGTGTGTGTGTCAGAAAAGCGCTGGGCGCTCACTCTCAGTGTTTTCGTCTTCATTCAAGGTGGTAGGCGAGTTGGGAAGGTCTTGACTGTGCGCAGCCCAGCTCTGTGCCACTGGGACCTGAAAGCCCCCTCTCGGCTTCCTAGCCCCGGGTTCCTCCGCCCCAGATGCCCTGTCAGCCGCACTTCCTGCACTTGTGCTGGGCGGTGGACGGCGCAGATGAGGCCAGGACCTCGAACGCCCAGTCAGCCAGGTAGCTGTTCGAGCTGGCTGCGGGCTGAGCCTCCACTCCATTCCTCGTTGGAAGCTCGCCTCCTGCGCCCTCCTCCTGAGCAGGGTGACGCTGGGCGGCGGCCCTGTCGCAGGTCTTCACTGCTGGCCCCGAGAGGTTTTCAAGTTGCTCAGCAGAGGCTCCCGCCCCCCCAAATGAGCTATGGGCGCGCCTCCAAAATCTCCCTGGCTCCCAGCTCCTGCCCCTCAAATAAACGCACCTCGCCAGAAAACCGGGCGAGAGTTTACCAAAAGAAGGAAACTTCTAGAAGAACAACCTCATTCCCCAGGAAAAGGTAATGAGGGGAAGCGAAACAGTGTGAGCTTACTCGGAAATGCAAACCGAGCTCTACTCTCCCGGGCTCAAACAAAAGCTCGAAAGACAAGTCAGCCAACGCGCTCAGCGGCTTCCCAGAAAGGGCCTCATGAATGAGAATGGGTTGCTAGGTTTCCTCCCTTCCTGCCGACAACTGCTTCCCACAAGATTTCCCCTGCCAAAAGAAAGCGGGCAGGGCTTGCTGACAGCCAAGCAGGGAAGCGCGCCAGCACCGCCCCCGAGGGCGCCCGGGGCCGCGCCCGCCTTCAGGACCCTGGAGAGCGCTTGCCGCGCCCCTGGGACCGCCGCTTGCGGGGCGCACTCCCTCCCCTTTGCCTCACTTTCGTTCTGCTGCCCTCCTCCACCGTCATTTTTCTTGGCAACCACCACTCTGGTTTTTCACAAACAGATTACACTGTTGTTTTTTGTTTGTTTGTTTGGCTTGAGGGGAGGCACTGGGATTGGCCGAGTTAGTTAACCACACTAAATGTGTGCACCAAGAGGCACCCAGAGCAAAGGCAGAGACAAAGGCTGTACAAGGCCAGGTGGCTTCCAAAAGCCGCCAGGTTCAGTTCCTTCATCCCTGAAAATGAAGGTGATGACTAAAAAGCCATTCACATGTGATCCGTGAAGTTAGTGGCAAGGCTAAGTCTAGAAGCTTCGGTTCCAGGACTTTTGCTAATGATTCCCAAGAATAATTTTCTTCATCGCTTTCCAAGATAAAAAACTTTTACCTTCACCCTCATCACTTAGGTCTCCTGTGCAACAAGTGGAAGGGTCAAAAGTGTGTTCCTGAAAGTAAGACGGGACACGTGCAGTTAGAAAGGATTCCTAGTCGGAGCCTCAGCATTTAAGCCACATTAATGAGCCCCGTTCTGCAGCCAGCCTGTGGCAGGACTGGGACCCCTCAGCCACCTGCACTACCACCCAAGCCTCCTGTAAACAACTATCGGATGGGAAGCTAGCAGCCAAGTCCAACCCTGCCAAAGGACAAGGAGAGGGAGGGTGGCCCGCAGGAGGGAGGGGAAGACGAAGAGTTGCGAAAGTGCAGGGAGATTTCCATTCAGAGTCTAAAAGAATCCTCCGGAGTTGTGAGCGCAGACTCTTGCACACACATGACGCACCCGACGCGCATACAAATTCCCTGAGAAAGTCAACGTACAGATTCTGATGCCTTAGGTTGGAACACGGCCAGCGATTTTGCATGTCTAAGGAGCGACTAGAAACAAGCCACGCAGCCGGCCCACTGGCCACACTTGAGAGACACCCAGTGTAAAAAGGGATGGAAAGGGGGAGATCTAACCTCAGGCCCTTTCTTTCCTGCTTTCCCCCACCCCTTCTCGCAACCCCGAAGTCACTTCTCACGGTGCTGAAGCAATGGCCTCGTCTAAGGTCTGGACGCAACAGTAACGGTGTGCTCTTCTGTCTCTCCCCCCCTCCCCCCCCCCCCCCCCGCCCCGCCCGGCCCACAGCTCCCAGGCCCGCCCGCGGCTCCAAAGCAGCGCCGCCTCCTTTCCCGCGCGTTCGACTGCCTCGCAAGCCTCGGCGCTCACCTTCTCCGGCCGCCGCCCCCCGGAGCTCCCCGGCAGCGCCCGAGCTTCTCCCCGCTGCTTCCCGCCCCGTGCACCGCCCGGCTCCCGCGGGCGCACCAGGAGCTCGCTGGCCGCCTGCCGCTCCTTCTCGGCTCCGTGCTGGCACTACCCGGCCGACCCCTGGGGCGGCGCCCCCCGAGGCTGCCCGACCCGGTCGCCAAGCCCGAAGAGGAGGAGGCCAGCGCGGGGCAGGGCCCGCCCGTGCCAGTGAGTACCGCGCCCCCGCCTCCCGTCCCTAGCCACGACGCACTGCGCCCCCGGTTCCAGCAGGGAAGACCCGAGGTCGGGGCGCAGCGGACCCCGAAAGCCCCACTCCCGCGCGCATCCGGAGCCGCTCTCTCCCGGCCGTCCCGCCCCCACCTCGGGGCGCGCCTGCTCCTCCGCACAGGCCTCCCCCCGACCCGCCCAGTCCCCTGCCCTTCCCGGAGGAAAGGACGCGAGGTCAGGCTGGAGTCGGGTCAGTTATTTGAGCCCCGGCCTCAGCGGCTCTGCGCCCGGCGGCCCCTAAACTCCGCGGGCCCTGGCGTGGAAGACTCGAGGGAGCTCCGCCGAGGCCTCCGCCACGGCCCGAGCCGGGCTCCGTCCTCCTCCGCTCCACCCGCCCGGGCCTCCAGGGGCCGCCTCCAGGTCCCGCGGAGTAGGACGGGTTAGGACCCCTTTCCGGTGCCGGGGAGTGGGACACGGGCGACAGCGCCGAGCGCGTCCCGAAGACTGAGCCCAGCTCGGTGCGCAGGCTCGGGGCGCGCGGCCCGCACCCCACGCGCAGGGTTCAGCTGCGCCCTAGTCGCGTCTCCGAGGGGCCGGGGGCGCAGGGAGCCAGGTGGAGGCGACCCGGGAAAGCCGAGCCGCGGAGGCGGAGGCGGAGGCGGAGGCGGGGCGGGAGCGGGCGGTGCCGCGGTGGAAGAGGAGGCGCGAAGGGGGCGAGGGCGGGACCGAGCCCGAGAGGCGAAGCGGAGCCCCGCGCCGGGCGAGCAGAGAAAGCGAGCGCCCGCCGTACGCATGCGCGCGGCCCACGAGGCGAGCTGGCCGGAGCAGCCCGCGGGTTCTTCGGGGGACAGCGCGGGCGTGAGTACGCGGCGACCGCTGGCCGGATGCTCCTCCCCGGCTGGCGCTGAGGCCTCGGCTGGGGGGTGGCGGGCCGGGAGGTGGAGCCGTCGCCCCCTCAGGAGACACCCCGGGCTGGCAGGGCAGTCGGTCCGCGGGGCTACAGGCGGGTTGGCAGAGCGGTGCCCGCGGCTGCCAAGGACGCCGAGCGAGGACCTGTGACCTGGTCCGAAACACTCCTGGCTCACCCCTGGCGCCCTCGGGAATTCCGGGAGGGTTAAAAGGTGGGCGTCCCCTCGGATGGCGAGACCTGACCCGCGGGGGCGCAGGTGGGGAGGGGACGAGGAGCCGCTCCCGAGGCGCAGCGCCGCCCTTTCCGAGACGCGTGGCCTGGGCGGCCCGGGGAGCAGGGCGGGGAAGCGTGGCCGGCGTCGGCGCTCCCCGCGCCCCGGCAGCTGTGCCCAGATGCGTCCCTTAGGTTCCGGCGTCACGGAGATTGTCTGCCAGCAAACCGGGTGCTGGGTCCTCCGAGCTCTCGCAGCTGCTCTGGGGAAGTTGGAACAGGTAGGACGCCCAGTGCGCCTTTTTTGGCTGGCGGTGGAGAGGGCGAGAGGCCTCCTGCGCGGGACACTCGGGGCTGCGGCCGCAGAGCCCTTAGAGTCGGCGGCGCGGGCGGCGCGGGAGCCTCTGGCGAGGCTAGGAGCTGGGACCCCGGAGGTCTCTTTCAAGGGACCTGTGTGCGCGTGCATTCTCCTTTCCACTGGTAGGGGGAGCATAGTGGGGTGACAGCTTGAGAGCGCAGCGCACTGGGATGGGGTGGGCGTTTGCGGGAGCGGGCTGTGTGCTTTGCAGCTTTCCAGCGTTGCAAGAGTGGGCGAAAGGTGGGGGGTACAGAGGGCGCTAGCGCCTGCCCACCCGCCCCCACATATGCAAGACACTTTGGAGAGGAAGTCTGGGAACACTGGATTGGGCTTTCCAGATTCCCCAGCATCCAAGTGGTTTGGGTCGATGAACTACACCAGCAGTGGGGAGGACGCGACTTCGGTGCGCAGGGCCATGCTGGGGAGCCTTGGGGTGCTGTCTCTCCAGCTGCATGGGAGGATGGAGTGGTCTGCGTTAGTACGAGGCCTCTGCCCTGCAGGGGGAGCTCGCTGGAAGGGAAATTTCGCTGGTGTTCCCTTCTCAGCACGCGCAAGGGGCCAACCTCTTTCAGTGACCCCTCCAGGTCCACCCCCCCAAAGTGTCCTGCTGAGGTTTTCCAGGGGTTGCCTGTCCAGCAGGTCTCTGAGCTGCTCCACGTGGGGGGAGCAGTGAGCTCCGGCATCAGTCACTGGCCCTTGCGTGGCTTAACTTCAGTTGACTTCTGGTGGCTTCAGACTGTGGAATTGACTGGGCTTGGGAAGGGACTTGCCTTCCCAGCTTGGCGAGGACACGAGTCCGGAAATGACTGTCTTTAAGTCCCTTGGTACAATCATGATTTCCAGTTTTCTGTTTTTGTTTTCCCCTCTTACCTAATTTTGTCATCTGGCTTATCTTCTGTTCATTGAGAGGCATCTTTTGTTTTACATATTGCTAAAACGTGTGGTAGGCAGTGTTGTCTAGTGGAGAGCGCTGGGATCTGTCAGGTCTCAATCTGGCTGTGTGACTTTGAGCAAGTTGCCCAACTTCTCTGTGCCTTAAGAGAAGTAGAGGTGCCCATTTCATGATGCAGCTGTTGGTATTCAGTAGGTTAATATAGTGGAGCTCCCAATAACTCCCTGCCACTTACGGAGCAAAAACTGTCCTGAGAGTGGTAGACTTGTTCAGTGGACTTCAAAAATACAAAAAAAAAAGTAGGAACAAATGTGTTGTCTTACCTGATTTAAGACGTCTGTAAAAAAGGGCTGGGAAGATAGCTCAGTGGAATAAATGCTTGCCTGGCAAGCACAAGGTCCTGAGTTTGACCCCTGGTACTACCACAAAAAAAAAAAAAAAAAAAATTCCAGAAAAGCTGGCCAAATAGTTCAGCGGATTAAAGCACCTGCTTAAGCAGAGTGCAGCAGCCAGAGTTTGATCCTTAGTGTGCATGCCAGCACGCTGAGCCAGCAGTTGAGACTGGGTGTGGTAGTGCGCCTGTAATCCCAGCTCTTGGGAGTCTGAACACAGGCGGATCACTACGAGGAGTCTGATCTACACAGTGAGACCCTTTAGACCTTGTACTAAAATACAAAAAAAAAAAAAAAAAAAAAAAAAAAGTGTAGAGACATGGATGTCCATCATCAAAATCAGGAAAACAATAAACTTTTTCTATCAATATTTAAATTTAAATGCAATGCATTTTTATCTCGACTTTTTATGAGATCCATACAAGCTTCAAACAGCATGTAAAGAAAATTCCTACCTACAAAACAGATGCACTTTTTACTTTTAAAATTTTTTTAATCTTTTATTTATTTATGTATTTGATACAGGGTCTCTCTACACAGCTCAGACTCATAGTGATCCTCCTATCTCGGCCTCCCCAGTACTGGGATTATAGGTGTGTGCCACCAGGACCGGTTTTGGGGCTGCACTGGCACGCCAGGGGTTCCAGGGCTGGAGCAGCATGTGGTACTGGAACTCCAACCTGGGTCCTTGAATTTGCCAAGCAGGCGCTTAGACTGCCAAGCTATCTCCCTGGCCCCCAGATGCATTTTTTAAAATACGAGTCTAAAAAGGCTGGGAAGGGCTGGGCAGATGGCTCAGCAGAATGAATGCTTCCCTGGCAAGCACAAGGGCCTGAGTTCAATCCCCGGTTCCACCAAAAAAAAAAAAAGGCTGGGAAGTGGTTCCAGGCTTACCTGATGTGCCCAAGGCCCTGTGTTCTGTTCCCAGGGGCACTAGGTTAGGGCGAGGAGACACATGCTAGGGACTGTGCTGCGGAAGACAGAAAAGGGTGTGAAGTCATACTTGGAGAAATTCAGTGCCTTCACTGAAATACTGTCCTGAATCCACTTTATGCAAGAGAATCTGCAGATTTTCTTGGGAACCAGAAGGGCTAAGCTCCCTGAGATCACTGTAAACCCTTATCCATATCAACCTTTATTATGTGTAGAGTACAGAATAATGACATGAGCTGGTGACTGACTTCATGTACCTCTTACATTTGCAGAAAGGGAAACACTCAGATTAAGGATCCAGCTACTTAGGGGCTAAAAGAAGATTAAATTCCGCCTGCTCACTCCCCAGGGCTCACACACCACTCTGATGATTTCCTGTTTACAGCAGACTTGTGAACTTCTTCTGAGCAGGGGACCAGAAGGTCTAATACAGAAGCATGTGTGAGAGGCGGGAGTGGTGCCTGCTGCTGCCCAAAGGCTTGCTGTGGCTCCGCATGGAGCTGGACAGGCCCAGGGACTTGCCTCAGGTAAGGTGAGGTCACAGAGCAAGCTAGCGGGATGGCGTGAAAGCACCAAGCTAACCGGGCTGTGCATCCAGTTCCATATTCTGACCATCCCTTGAGGAAGTTTTACATTACAAACCATGTTTTAACATTTTTTGGTACCAGGAATCAAACTCAAGACCTTGCACTGAACTACATCGCTGTCTCCCTGTCCGTTCGCTTCTGCATGTGGCAGTCCAGTGACATTCATGTCCCATGAACTGTGCAGACTAGGTTATCTGGCTGGCCCTCTAGGAACCGCTTAGGAAGTGTGCGGCGGGGTCTTTCAGGTGAGCATATGGACTTGCAAAGTTATTTATAGGAAGAGTGTGTTTTCCAGGAAAGGTGCTTCCAGGAATGGTACCTGCATCCCAGAGGAAGGCAGCCGGCTCTCTCCAGTGTGCGAACTGTGTGCCTTACCCTAGACTGCCACATGGGATGGCTACCGCTGGTCCTTGAGCAGAGATACAGGCTCTTCAGCAGGGCATGACTTCCTAGCTTGCTTCTAATCAGTGTAACAGCTGAGTTCTGAAAACACACTAGGACGCGAACATGACTCACCGTGCAAATGCGACTCTTTCGCATCGGTTCTCGGCGCATCCCCAGGTGACTCAGCATTTGAGCTGCGGTTCTGCGAGACCAGTGTCAGTCCGCAAGGAGCAGGGTTCGCTCTGAGTCAGCTTAGGGTTTAGTACAGTAAGTGTGAGTCATTGTCTAGGGCACCATCAGGATGGTCCCTGAGTGTGCCCTTGAGCTCCCGAGTTTAGACCCGCAGCAGGCTGAGTCAGCGCGGCGCTCTAGCGGATGAGCTTTGGTAGGGGTCGTTCTCAGCGGAGTTTGCGGCTGTTGTGCATCATGTTACATAATTAGGGATCCGCAGCCCAGGTTACCTTGATTCTAATCCAGCTGATGAAATTCAAGCTACGTTTGCAAGGGGAGTCGTTGTGAAATAAGATTAATATGCTCACTTGCCTACCAGTGGTGTTTCACATGTGTTACTTCCAAAGTTATTAAAGTCAATTAACTTCTGGTTTCTCGTTATGAGGTAATTTTACTCTAAATTGTAAAATACTTTTTGACACTGGTATTTTTATTTCAGACAAAGACACCTCCTGCAAAGTTACCCAGTAGTTTGAGCAGAAGGGGAGATGGGGGTCCAGCATAGGCCTTAGTCCAGTAAGGAGGAAGAGGGGGCCCATCTGACCCATCCTCGTATGTGCCTGCCACTTCTTTTCCTGAGCTATCTCCCTGGCCCAAGCCTGTCACTTCTGAAGGGAGCTGGACCATCACTCTCCATACTGGACAATACAAGTTTGTGCTGCTGCTTTAAGGACAACAGCATCTGCCCCACCACCATCATTTGTCTATTGTGGTGCTGGGAATTGAACCCAGAAACTTGTGCACGCTAAGCACTGAGCTACATCCATCCCCAGTCCTAGATTCAGGGCACTACTAACCCTCCAGGGCTGTATGGCAGGAACCAACACAAAACGGTGGGAAAAATTATGCACCCTATTCCTTACCCTACCCTCAAAAATTCCTTTAATGTCTCAGGGTGCGATATAATGAGATTGAAGGGACTAGTAGATTTCTTAATTTGTGTAAAAATGTTGTTGATAATTACATGCAGGTTATTATCCTTGGAAACAGGATACTGTATAAGGGCTCTACCATGTATCATTGTGTTTTTATAAATGTATTTCTAGTGATAACCTGGATACTAATCCATATATCTCCTGCTCTATCAGAAGTATAGGTATTTTGTATTTAACAGAGACTTTACATTAAAAGTTAATATTTTCTCATTTATCACAATTCTTGACAAATTCAGATTGTTAAAATTCTTTAATAAACTAGAGTATTTTTACAACTGAATTAGAGGTTCTCTATAAATGCACTAGGTTTCAGGAAGGGGCGAGTAGGTATTGTTGTAAGATGCACAGTTGCTTTTTAGTTTGTTTACCTGTGTGTGTGTGTGTGTGTGTGTTTGTTTGGCACAGGCCTCAATATGTAGCCCGCATGGCGTGCAGTACAGGGACTGAGCCCGGGTCCTTGGGCCTGCCAGGCAGGTGCTTAGACCACCAAGCTTTCTCCCCAGCCCCACTTTGCTTCTTTAGAAGTGTGTGCATCTCGAGTGTACAACCCCATTTCCCAGAAAATAAGA